CCCACCGCTCGTCCGTCCAATAAGAAGGACGAACGCGCGTGCGCGTCCTTCTTTCTTCTTCGTTTCTCTCACTCTTTGCCTACTCTCTCGGGGGATGGCAGTTTCTCCGCCACGATTACCCCAGAAATCTTTCTTCGGCTAATGCAAGAACTGTGTTTCCGGCGGTTCGCCCGATGCTTCGCCTACCTTCGGGGCGGACAAGCACGTACACACGCGGATACGGGCGCGCGCGGGCGGTGGCGTGCATTTACAAGTGCGACGCGCTGCCGGAGGGTAGGAGGGAGCGGGGCTTAAAATAGGAGGGTGGACAGCCCGACGCTATAACGCGGAAACTGTGAGAAATATTTGGGTAAAAGTACAGATGGTGGTCGAATTGCACACACACACACACACACACACACACATACACACACACGTTCACTCGGGGGACGCGTAATCAACGGGAATTTGTAGACCTCAAGATTCGTAGAAATTCCTACGTAGGGTTTGGAGCGGTTTCTTTCAAGAGGATCGTGTGGGATTCCTCGAATTTGACGCGGTACGTCGTCGGCAGATTCGCGATTACACGCGACGCGAGGCTTCATCCCCCAGGCTCGCTTTATAATTAACAGATTTCGCGAGACAATTCGAGAGGAGGCTACGCGCGTTTCGTTCGCGCGCATGAAAAATTCGTGAGGATCGACTCGCGCGGCACGATGTTGTGTATAAAATATACAATGAACTTCCGAAGGTCCGCGAAAATTAATAGTCTCCGAAAATCACGGAAGTTCATGCGGAGACGACGCGGCGTTCGCGCTCACAGACGTGAATTGCGAATAAGGGATGGAGAGAAAAAGAGAGAGAGGGCCCGAAGCGGGGAGAGGGAACGTTCATTCACGCGTCCGCCGGCATAATGCAAGCTGGTGAGAATAAAAGATCGGCCGGCTGCCCGGCGGCGACGATATGTACCGGGCAGAGTAGCGACGCGTGCACCTGCGGAGGAACACAGACAGAGGGAGAGAGAGAGGGAGAAAGGAAGAGAGCGTCCTGAAAAATTCGATACCGATGCGCGCGCTCTCGATATTCGAGGGGGTAGCATATGTGGAACATGGTAGGACACGGAGGACATGGATTACGAGGAACGAGTATAGCCGGATGCGCGTCTCGACAATCTCACGTGTGTCCCGGCGGGCGTGTTCAAAAATCTCATGAACGTTTTTCAGATAGATGGCGAACGAACGCACGGCTGCCTCCGAGCCCGGGAGAAACTCGCCGATCTCGCGCGAACCGCTCGACAACGAGTACGATTAACCCCTCGCGGTCGTATTTATCGCGGATATAAGTAGCTTACGTTAAAACAAAAAATACTACACTGCGAAACATTATAAATTTAGCACGGGTGTCTCGCGATTGTCTTTAACTGGTTACACGAAGAGAATATTAGTTTTTTTTTTTTTTTTCGTATAAATTCTTTTCAAATTTTTTATGTTTCTAGTGCAGAAATAGATCGGCAGATGAGTTTTATCTTGCTAAGGAACATGGAAAATTACACACGCAGCAAATTTTTTAATAGCGCATTTCCTAAGTTCATTTCAGTTATTAAGATTCTTAGGTGGCATATATGAAATGAAAGGATGTACACAGAAAAATGTCACTGCTAAAAAAGCAATTACTCGGTTTATTTTCTTTCTCTTACCTAGTCGCTATTTTCAACTAAGAATATATTTCCGATAATATTTTCAAAATGTACTCATCACGAATCTTCGAGAAACTCAATTTTATCACTTCAATCATTAATAATTCACTCATCAATAATTGTCATTTGAAATGCATTTTCTTTTAAAGATCTGACTTTTGAAAGTCAGATCTTTATTTAGAGTTAGATTTTTAATTAAATTATGCGATATATGTGCCGTTATAATCGCGTGATCCAACTGGAAAACTTTCGCCCAACTCGGGACTCAAATCTGAGTATCTCATTTGAGAAGAGTTTCAAGTAACGACTATTAATACGGGCCTAAGTCACGTCTGCGAGTAACAACTCGCGCATTTGGCTCGCGAGAGCACAACGTCCGGGAGACGTAATACCAACGCAAAGGGTTAACATACGATCGAAATTATGTAGGCGTTGTGTTAAGAGTGGACACACGACCACTACAAAGGGTTGATACGAAAGTGTTGTGTTGCGGGCACCGGTTGAGCGATAGTTGCCGAAAATATTCAATCGACCGTGACCACATATTCTCCTTCCATACCTCGGAAGTTTCCGTAAATACATTCAGATATCCAAAATTACCCGACCCGAGCGGTCCCAACCTGCGGCAAGCCTGAACAGCCATGATTTTCAGAGAAAAGGAAGCAAATCCGGAACACCGCTGGTAATTCGAAATACCGAGATATAAGAAAAGCTAAATAACCTCAACTAATTACGTTTACGACCGCTGTGTTGATGATATTGTTTTACATTGGACGACAATGAAACTGACAAAAGTTTTTAAGTTCGTATGCAGTCCAATATCACAATGCTTAAGGGGATGCCGGATATGAAAATTTTACCGACATAACGTTGACTTTTTTTTGCAAAGTTTACGTTTTGTTGCTTGCACAGAATTACAAACGCTTTTACACAACAAAAGTGCATACAAAAATTAATTGGAGCATTGCTCAATATGTGACGAAAACGAAAAAAATAAATTTAAATTTTAAGCTGTCAGTTAATGCAATATTTGTTTAATATAAACATTCTGCAGGTTGTACATATCGAAACGGTGGATGCTCCAATTTCAAAGATCACTACTACACTTTTAGAATTTAATTTTAATGCCAAAAAAGATACGAAAAGTTTGCAGAAAAGTTTATGATTATATGCGGTTAGATTTTGCGACAACTATGATAAAGTAGGGCGAAAAATTAGTTTACGGATATTTTTTGAAATGGCACTGTACTTTTATCACACTTTTCACAATATCCGAATATTATTAAATAATAACCAAATAAATTAAATAATAATAAAGTAAAGAAATAATAATACTCGAATATTAAATGTTAATGATAATAATATCTATTTGACAATCGTGTAATAATATCCGCGAGTGCATAATAACGGAACAACGATGATCGAATAATCAGTAATAACAATGAATAACAATAACTGGGCAACGACGATAACTGATGAAAGACGAGGTAAAAAAATTGTCGTAACGGCACGCCTGAGTTGCTTTCCTATGCGTAATAGCGATAATTTAATAATAATAGAATAAATTAAATAATAACCGAATAAAGAAGTAATAATATTCGAATATTAAATGGTAGTGATAATAATATCTGCTCGATAATTGTGTGATAATATCCACGAGTGGATAATAATGGAATAACAATGATCGAATAATCGATAATAACAGTGAATAATAATAACTGGGCAACGGCGATAACTGATAAAAGACGAGATAAAAAATTGTTGTAACGACACGCCTGAGTTGCTTTTCTATGCGTAATAGCAATAATTGAATAAATTAAATATTAACCGAATAAAGAAGTAATAATACTCGAATATTAAATGGTGGTGATAATAATATCTGTTCGATAATTGTGTGATAATATCCTCGAGTGGATAATAAAGAAATAATGATGATCGAATATAATCGGTAATAACAATACCTGAGCAACGGCTTTAACAAAAACTCTAAGCTCCACAAGTGCTAGGTAAACGAACCGTCGTAATGGCCCGCTCGTGCCGCTGACTGAGCGGCGCTTAGAGAGGGG